GAACCATATCACGTCAGTCTTCTCATTCTAAACTCTTTAGATTTATACACGAGTTCAGTCAATGAGAGAACCTGATTGCTGCTGGCATTGTCATTCCATACGATCTTCAGTATGCGTCGTAACCAGGACTTGTGGAATTGTTCAGTAGATGTATGTGCATTCCAATACGAGCAATCGGTTCCAATCCGTCAAAATCGGCCCGACTCTAGCGGTGGTGACTCTCAATTTTTTTCCAATCCAGATTCATTTCAAAGGCACTTTTGAGGGAATAAAACCAGGAAGTTAAACAGATTTAGAATTATACAATGAAGCAACTTTCTGGAAACATACGCCTAGCAACATACGCCTAGACAGTTACACTGTCTGCATGACAAAGGAGTCCAAATAGCATTACACTACCATTAATAACCGCACTCATTCGGTTAACAACGGGCTCTCGATTTCTTAGAACTCTTCGTCAAGCGAATATTCCGACATTCACAGTTCCTGCATATGAAGTTGAAAAGTGTGAAGAGGAGGGAAATCTTGTGAACGGTCAAGGGATTGACGGAATCATATTAATTAAAAACCTGCTAAAGTTTGAATCAAATATGAATTTCAGTCATTTTTAACGTTTTTAAAGTGATTATTTTAGGTACTAGGCTTAAAACATTACCAAACACTTTCAATTAAGATTAAGCTGCAGGTGTGAATAGTGATGAACAATCATGTTTTTCATTTTCCGGACGAAAACAATTTATTTGAAAAGTTTATATAAATTATAATGATTCTGCTGTAATGGAACGGCTGCTGTTATAACGAAATTTGATGACAGTACAAAAACAATGGAAACCGTCTTTTAAGGAGTTTTTAAACGTAAATTCGAATAGTCTTTACATTACTTCCTTCCAAAACCTTGAAATGGACAGTCAGACGCCAAAAAGAGTAAATAAAATTGAGGCCAGCTACTGATCAGTAATATAACTTTCTCGCGAAATTTAGGTGGGCGCAAATAACTTAAACCAAATGATTTAAATGCCCCGCCAGAATCAGAGTGTAAGAAATATTTCGAATTTGCTAATGGAACAATTAGTATTGCCTATCCAAGCCTACAGAGTAAATTGCATCATTCTTTCATGACCTTAAGAGCTATTTAAGCTATTTTAGTTCAACAGTATTGTCACCTGTAAAAAGACATGAACGCAAAATCTTTAAAGTATATGTTGGGTAGGCAGGAATAACAGTGAGCAAATAGCAAAATAGATCCTGTGACGTATACAGGAGACAATACCTGCCGATTCTGTTCCATCATACCTCATTTCAACCGCAATTTCAGAGAATAGCTTTTAGCATGAAATACAGATAGTTAATCAAATAACAACAGCGTGTGGTATCTTCTGATGTGAAAGCATTGTTCATGCTAGAGGTACGTTACCAGTAACTCATAAATCTATATCAGTTTCATTACGGAAATGGTAAATACCTGGATGCGCTCACATCAGAGACCAACCTGTGCGAAAAAAAGAAGTGAGCAGTTACAAAAAAGTCTTGAAAACTCTTGAAATGTCAGTTTTTTGCGTGCCAAACTGAAAAAAAAACATGCAATTGAACGAGCGTACTATCAACGCAGACATCCTATGTATTTTGACTTCCCAAGCTGAATAGTGAAGACAAATTGCATAACTGTGTTGTATGACCATGGAAGAACAGTAGAAATATGTCGAAATAATTCAGATGCATTTATCACATCTTCACCATTTGAGTGAAAGCATCTATGGAGTTACAGATTAAGAAGGAACGTACTTATTCTGTGGCATAACAGAAAATTTACTATGTTGCATTAACCAACCATACTGTAATACTTCTAGTAGACTTTGGGGTAAAGGTTACGAAAGATAAACGTACATTATTGAACTATTGGCTTTAATTTGAAAACGAAAAACGAAGCAACAAAAAATGAAATGCACAGCAGTGAAACTGGCTAAGCCATCAACTCAGCAGCATGCAAAAACTTAAATGAAAGCGGTTCCAATTTGTGCATAGCGGTTCGAATTTGTACCTGAAAATGCAAGAATATCACGGATAATACCAATCAGGTTCGAATGCCTCAGAGCAGACCTTGGCGACTTATGCTGAAACAATCAAAAACCTCACAGTAGGAGAGGAGGCATGATAAAGCGGTGACGAACAGAGTGATGATTTGGTTTTATTAACAACTCAGTACCTGAATGCATAATCTTACACTAATTGAAAAGATTCTATTAATATTTCACATGCTATGCTTTGTCATGTAGGTGATGAAATGTCATACACACTAAAAACTGAGCACAGAAATCAAACCTATCAAAAGCTGAAAATTGATGATTCAGGCTGTGTGAAGGACGGATAACTCGAAGCATAGTGCTTTGATATGGCTTTATGGAATATGTGCGGAACACTGCTTAGATTTTTCAGAAATAAAAGTTCAAGGAAAGGCAAGCGGCAGTGGGGCAAAGATTAAGAGAAAACAAGCTGTCAATCTATAGCCATTAAACCGAAGTTTAACCAGCTTATCCCTGAGCAAACAAAACAGCTCGAATTGAAACTGAAAAACTGAACTGATTAATCATTTCCTTGTCCGTCCGCAGACAGGTCATATGTCAAAATGAACCATAAGCAGTTCTGACTGGGAAGTTGGCAAGAATAAGAAATGAAACGCTATTTGTTAATGTTGGCGTGTAGTCTCTTAGCACGGATAAACAGAAACGCGAATACATGAAATTCAATCATCCTTATGAATCGAACAATAAATTAAACCAACACATGGAAGAAAACAGTTAAATTTTAAATGTTCCGTGTTAAGAAAAATACATACTTTAAAAGATATCAATACGGCATAAACCAATCCTACCAAAGTAACAGTTTATTGAAACGTACACTCTACGCTCATCGGAATGCGCAAATATTTTATACGCAGTACTATATTGATAAAACGATCAACTTAAATGGCATTCATGTTGAGTTCAACTTCGGCTTCTGATCAGCCGTTGTTTATCTGATAATATAGAATGCCAGCGAAGCTTGTTTTGCATAAATTTAGTCTTCTACTAACAAGAGCTTCTAAGGTTAAAATCAGCTATATAAAAAACGTTTAAACAGAAAGAAGTTCGCGCATTTAATTAAAGAAGAACAGAAGAGGATGCCACATTCTTTTCAGTTAACCGGTAGGTACCAGGTAAATTAGTAAGCTTTTAAATAATTCAAAGTATGGAAGTAAGTTTTGTCAGCTTCGGTATGACCACAAAAGAGAATCATAATGCGGCAATTATTAGCCTGCAATCATAATGCAGGTCTAAAACTGGAAACTCGTTTCTAAACTAGTTAAACAGGAACATAGAGCGAAAAATCTATGCTGAAAGGAATTTAAAATAAATTAGTAAAACAACTTTGCAAGGTTATGACGACAGATTTGAAAAAATTTCGCACTGTCAGTGCGGTTACATTTTGGGCACGTTACCTTAATCGAAAAACACAGCAAGCCACAAAGCGACTGTTACAGCAAGTCACAAAAATGCGTATATCAAAAATACCTTCATTGTCTAAATGTACTTCCGTTGTGTACCGTTTGAATTCATCGCACTTATTCATTAGCCACTCTTTCGATGCGGCAGCTAGATTGCTGTAGTAATGGCCATCCTTCTCCGACTCATAAGCAGTAGTATCCTAAAAAGCGTGAGAACAATAATAATTTATAGATCGTTCATTAACAATCGGTATCACATATTTACCTTTTGTTCATTACGTACCTTTGGGGTAGCTGATTGTGAAAAAAGTTCACTGCCGTAACTAGAAAGGCTCGGCAGACATCCAATCTTATTCATTGGAGATAGAATACCAGCGTTTTTAACGTCTGACGTTTCGTAGTTAGTAGTGTGGGCATTTTCCACACCTAAATCTGTTCAAAGTTAAACGTATCAGCGAACACGCGAGATTACCACCATCCTTCTCAACAACTGGTTCTGCAGTATATGGAGATAAAAGCGACGCGGCATCGGGATTGACCAAATTTGGAATTATATTGGTGAAAACTTTTTGAACGTTTGGCCCGGAATCTACATCTGCCACTTCAGCTACTGATTCTGCGCTAAATACATTTCCACTGACTTTTAAACCAGCATTCATTATCTTCGATTCATCAGTAAACGTAGTTACGCTTACTGCTCGATCAGGACTCTTGAACGGCACTGAACCTGATGAGAAACAGCCGGTTTCAGTGCAACTGGTATTATCAAATGACTCTGTAAAAATTTTGCCAGAAGACGCAAGTGACTCAGTATCGCTCGAATTAAACAGCTTCGACTGCTCAGTATTCTTTAATTCCCCCGATACGTTCTTGAAACTTTTACGATCCTCCGACATGGTATCAGAATCCAGCGCTGTAGATATTGCTTTTGCTGCAATTTCGTTAACAACCATAACTGGTGAATTGATGCTCACAAGCTTCGCAGCATCGGGAGAGGTGGCTACATTCTCTAAGACATGATAGCCATCGGTCCGCGTTGAAACTGCCGGCGACAGCGCATGCGTAGTGTAATCTACTTTCTCGATAGCTTCAGTAACAGCTTCAAAAGAAAGAACAGGC